ACACTTGCTAATGAACAAACAACAGAACCATCGATATATACAGAATATAGCCATAAAAGAAAACCTAGTAATACAAATCACTTAGGCAATCAGGCGTCCTGCACAATTGGAGATCCACCCAACTACAAATTTCTATATATAATAAGTAGAGGAGTACAGTATAACACTACCGCCACCAGCAGCAGCGAATTTGATATTTTCCGTACGAGATGCATGATCCATGTAACTGCCACGGACGGCTGTGTGACGGCGAGTCATAGGCCACACCGCCACAGAAGAGAGCAGGTGAATCTCTTGTTGCGTCGCGCTGTTGCATCAGCAAACGTCGAAACTCGAAACGGACCACACAGCGTGGAAACCCCCGGTTTCCTTTGCTTGTCTGTTCGCCTCCCACAGTTTGGCTGACTCGACTTCTAAATCATTAGGTTTAGTATGGATTGGCGTATGGCAAATGTGAGGAAGTAAAAAACTGAAACCCTGAATTATCTTCTTTGATGACACCAAAACGTTCCTACGCTACTGTACTGGCGTGGAAATAAAATGCTTTGAACTCAATGCAGAGAGCTGAGAGTTTCTGGGTTAATTTTAATTTACCCATGGTGATGTGATTTGGCTTATCGGTACAGGCCAACTAGCAAGACAAATAAACTAAAGCATGTGACACTAAAAAAACGAACCGCTAATGTGACACCAATCGTTGGGGCGCAGGCGTGCTATAATTTGACGTCCGTCCACCAACATACTACTACTACTCCCTGCATACAAAAAAATATATATATAATTCTTATTTTTGAGAAATCAAGCGAGTTTAAATTTAATTCAAATATATAAAAAATAATATTTATAATACTGATTAAGTAGCATTAAATTTAATCATGAAAAATATAGTTTTATAATTTATCTATTTGAACTTGTAAATATTAGTAACATTTTCATTAAACTTAGTTAAAATTAAGAAAGTTTGATTTAATTCAAACTATGTTAACAACACCACTCTTTCAATATCTTTTATTTCAATGATTGACAAATGCGATCCAAATTTCATGTGCGGGTTCTATTTAGGGAGACACACTAGCTTCAATTTTAGGCCTATTTTGCAACAGTACGAAGATCAACAAGCGCTTATGTTAAGAACTTTTCATAAATTGGAGATTACACTATTGAACCTCTTTGCGTCCTTCGGATGTCGTTCGATATCTAGAATTTAAATTGTCATAAAGTTCTTTGTTTTTCTTAATTGTTGGATCATAATAAGTTGGTCCGATTTCTCATTAAAGAAGATGGAGTCAGATACTTGTTTCCGTTATTAAAGAAACAATAGAAACACCACTGGCGAATTTGGTACTCTCTCCGTCCAGAAAAGAATACAATTCTAGCACAGTGTCACGTTTTAGGAACTTAAGTTTGACTAATTATAGATAAAAAAAATATTAATATTTATGATATCGAACAAATACCTTTAGATTAATTATGAAATATATTTTATAGTAAATGAATTTGGAGTCATAAATGCGAATAGTATTCACACAAAACTTGGAGGAATCTGGATTTTATGAAATATATTTATGATAAGGGCCTGTTCACTTGTCTGAATTTTGGAGAAATCTGAATAGTTTGGAGGAATGCTGGAGGAATTTGTGAGAGAAAAATGCTGTTCCGAATGAAAAAAATAAGCGAATCATGGGTTTAAGGGCACGCGAACCCGTCGTTGCATTCTTTGCCGGAGACGGGGAGTAATTTCTGTATGAGTCTACGAGATGAGTGACAGCATGACTCATGATAACAGCCAGGGACGGCGAGTCATCTCATAGGCCAGAGAGAGAGGGCAGGTGTCTCTGTTGCATCAGCAAACGTCGAAAGGGACAGCGCAGCGTGGAAACCATGTCCTCGAGCCCGCTGGTTTCCTCTGCCTCTGTCCGCCTCCCATAGTTTGGCTGATTCTACCCACTTGTCCCAGAGCAGAGCATGTGGTGAAAACCTGCAGCCTCACTCGTCTGATTCTGTGCGTGGCAAAGGAAGAAGTTCCACACGGGTGGCCTCAGAACCGATCCCATGAGATTCATGTCGAAATATATATAGTGGACACTGGACAGATCACATATCAATAAAGCGCAGGTGAAGAGAATCGTTGAATTGATGAATATGATACGTACACAATTCAGAAAGACATTCAGTGAGTGAGAAAGAAAAAGGCTATTGGATCAGGGCTCCACGGAAAAACACCCGATTTGTCTCACCAGGACAAGAAAAACAAGAAGTTCCACGGCTGGCTTCGTCGGGTGAGTTGCAAATTTTGCCACATCTCTCGATGCGATTTCCTGTTAGGATTAGGATTAGTGAGACACAGAATTGCAGAGTACCAGGCTCCGTTGCATCTCATCGATCATTGCTTCAAACAGTCCCTCCCGGCCCTCGTACACGTGAGCGCGACGTAACCTCACGTAACTACACGTGTGCGCGACGTAACTACACCGCGGCACACGGGCTTGTTCGTTGATTTACTGAGAGAAAAATATTGTTCTTGCGTTCAAAAAGTATGGCTCATGCCTGATCGAGGTGTGCTGGCTGGACACGGCCGCTTCAAAAAGCCCAAGCGGCCAAGCCGCATTCGGAGCAAGTGGCTAGCACACAGGCACAGCACTAGCAGCGCGCCGCATTTTCCAGCAGCCAGCCGAGGCAGTTAAACCTCGGCGTCCGCGCGCGTCCTCAGCCGCTCGCGCTCTGCACCCGGTTTTCAGGAGCTCCCCCCACTGTTTTCCACGCGGGGCCGGCCGTGTCCCCAAAACCACGTGCCCCGCACGCAGCAGCGACGGCACACTCCCAGCCCCGGCAAACTCGCCCTCGCCCCGGCCCCTTGGCTGGCTATAAGACCACCGGCCGCACCACACGGTCTCGCCAAGACAGCAAGACGTAAGCTAACACGAGGACACAGCCACCGAACCAAGCAGCGGCCGGGCGGGCGCATCGAGCTAGCTAGTCCTCGACCGATCATAACATACGGGTGGAGATAGATGGCGAGCGGGGGCGGCAAGGCGAAGGCGGCGTCGTGGGCGGCGGCGATGAGCGTGGGCACCGTGGAGGCGCTCAAGGACCAGGGCGGCCTGTGCCGCTGGAACTACGCGTTCCGGCAGGCGGCGCAGCAGCAGCGCGCCAGGAGGCCAGCAGGCGCGAGCGGCGCAGGCGGCCCCGGCAGCAGCGCCTCAGGCTGCGCCGCGGCGGCGAGGAGGAAAGCCAAGCAGCAGGAGGAGGAGCTCCGGACGGTCATGTACCTCAGCAACTGGGGTCCCAACAACTAGCTACGAACTAGCTGGTGATCGTCTGATCGAGCAGTCAGGACTTGTCTGGATGCAAGCCCCAAGCCTCCCAGGCGAGAGCTGGCCGGGCAACAATCTGATCTGACCCCCAGCGTCTAGGATTGCTCTGCCCGTCAGGCAACCTTGCCTAGCTAGATTATTAGGCGCTAGCGTTTCGTTACTGCTCTAGTTTGTTGTACGAACGACAAGGGCAGCCCTTGTGGGCGGATGAATCATCCAACATGCATGTATATGCGTGGATGAGCATGTGTACGCCAGGAAGTTGATGAACACGATGTACACCATGCGCAAGAGCTTAATTCTGCATAGTTTCATCAACTGTCCATGAGACGTAGATGGTGGATTGCTTTTTATTCCGTTAATTAAAAAAACAAATATTTTTTCTTCTTAATTTACTCCATTAAAAATGGAGTAATGTACATGTGGCTTTGGGATAGCAAGATTTTAATAGCCCCCTCCCTTCAAACTCAAACTAATGTTGTGCCATACAGATGCATAGTCTTTTATAACGGTCCAAACCTCCTGCTTCCCTGGATGCTCATGCCCCGGCACGCCTCCTACCGCCACCGCCACTACCTCGTCAGAGCGAGGAATTGTGTAAGACATGGTGGTATGCTGAAAGTTCTTACAGACCCTACTCAAATGCTGAAAACAGTAAAGAAAATGTCACTTAACAACACTCTGCAATTTCAAATATGAAGTCCTCGAACCGTTTATTGAAGCCAACAACCTGGAATCCGAAGGTTCTAATGCGATTTCAGAGATTTGAAATCCTAGTTACAATTTCTCTAGACATAAATCTGAAACTTTCCAGCTGAGCATCCAAAGCCGGGATTTTGTAAGTTTTCATGATCACATTTGTTTTTAGGTTCTTCCGGTTATATCCTGCCAAAAAAGGAGGTAGTGGCAGTGTGGACCCATACAGTGACAGTGTACCACTTTTGTTCTAAATCCACCTCTTATCTAGTCAGCTCCAGTCGCTCATTGGACGGGGATTTCACAGGATAACTGAGAAGTCCCTGTCCACTCCACCCACCACATTCCTAATTCGCTAGACCGACCCTGTGTGCTGAAACCTGTCGCGGCAGAAAGAAGCAAAGCTAACCTAGCACACATCACACTAATTACCTCTAGCACTAGCACGCCAACATGCTAACCCTGAAACTGACAGGCCGGCCCCAACTCAAAGCAAATCAAAGCTCACCGGCTGGCCCCATCCATGATCCATCTCCCCTGGCACCAGATTCCTTCCCTGCGGCCGCTTCCATCAAAGCGTTTGCTACTAGCACAGTAGGCCGCTTCCCTGTCGCCATTTCGTTTTGTTCTCACTCGGCCACCGGATGCTCAAAATCCGGCCGCTGACGACGACGCCGGATGTGTCGTCCACGAACCTGCAGAAATGCTCTCCCACATATTTGCGCACACCGGAAACGAATGTCGTGTTACGGACCGAAACAGCGGGCAGTTGTGCTGTGTGCTTAGCACAGCCGCGCTGCACTCCGACGGTTTTCGGAACTGAATCGCACCGTGCTCTACCTCGCATATATATTCAGTATTCACACGGCTGCCGTCTAGTGCCGTGCTATTACAGCAGCAGCAGTACAATCACTGGTTCAGAATAGCAGTGGTGGGTTTGGTTGTTCTGTTTGCAGCATCGCATCGATGAGCCTGGGGTACGCGAGCAGGATGGCGTGGCGAGCGGCGCAGGCCGTGGTCGTGAGGGCCAGGCAGCCGCCTAGCAGGCCGATCTCTGGCGCTGTGAAGGCGAAGCCGGGGGCGGCGGCCCAGCGGGCGCAGGGAGGACAGGCACAGGCTGGTCTCACCGGCGTGTCCGCGGAGAAGGCGGTCGCGGTGGAGAAGCTGAGGAGGAGGAGGAGGAGGGCGGAGAAGGACGAGAACGTGATGCACCTCGTCTGCTGGGGACCCAATTAGGCTAGGCTAGGCCGCTAGGGTTCTAGCTCTATGTAGTACGGTTTTGTCACCGCTCTGACTTCTGAGAGAGGAGTTAGAGAGACGTGTCTACGATGATGATATGCGTGTTTGTTCACTGTAGTACCTGTAATTATGTATACACGGATATATACAGGGTAGTGTTCCCGATGAGGTGACCTGTGTTCTGGGGGTTGCCGGAGCGTCAGTCAGCAGCGAGGGATAGCGGATCCGGTGCGCTTCGAGCAAGTCAAGAGGCCTTGCTCGTTGTTGTAGCTCAGGTCGTGGAAACCTCCCTGCCTGCTGCTATCTGTTTGGGGGGGACACGTCATACTGCAATTTCCACGAGAACAGAGATGGCTAGGCCAACCAGGTGACGGTTCGAGGAAACAAGCAAAGAGACGCATTGCAGGGTGCAGCATCGAAATGTTGCCGTAACCTTCCCAACACGCCAAGAAAAAAACTTGTTTCTGAAAAATATCAGCACGAAAATGGGCACTGCAGAAGTGCAGATAGCCAGATAGTAGAAAGATAAACTGCGTGATGTGTTATGTGTACATGCACATGTAGAAACATCTACAGACCAACACGAAGTCTTGTTCATGTTCCCAAGAATCAACGTATGGATGCCTTTAGATATTAGATCACGGCTAAATAGTCGTTTTGGTCTATGAACTCTCGGTTTTATTCTTGAACTTTCAAAACGATCGTTTTAGTTCTCAAACTTTACTTTCGGACTTAATTTCATTTTAGAACTATAAAGATGATCGTTTCCGTCATGAAATTTAGCATTTTGGGCCCAATTTCATCCATAAACTACTAAAGTGCATTTTGTTCTTTAAACTTTTATTTTTCAACTCAATTTTGTCTATCAAAAAGAAAACTTTATATTTTAGACACAATTTCATCCATGAATTATCAAAATGCATTTTTACACAACTTCATCCTTCGTCTAGCAATACTCACGACATTGTTAGGTACTTTCAACATTTGTATTTATATTCTAAGATGGATATAAATATAGATATAAATATTCTTAAATATGAATTCTTTTTATCCTATGGATAAAAATAATTATTCTATACACATGGTTATTAATTGAGCCTAACACTAGAAGTAGCTGAGAAAAAAAATTATAGATCTACTATTGTTTCAATATATCCATGTATTCTTAAGGAATAGCGTGTGAAGCAACTGTAATTGCTCCCACAAAAATTATTTATAGTCGGATATATATAAATGATATCATTATAAGGTAATATTAAAAATAACAGTTTAGAATTATTAATGGCTAGTAAAGAGTTTTTGGATGAATATTATTTTTCTATCTCCAATCGCTCCCAAAATGCAAAGTTTGAGGACTCAAATGATCATCTTTATAGTTTTAGGATGAAATTGAGCATAAAATACAAAGTTTAAGGACTGAAATGATCATCTTCATAGTTATAGGATGAAACTGAGCCTAACAATAGAGTTTGAGGACTAAAATAGCCGTTTTGAAAGTTCAAAAATAAATCTGCCTTAAGATCTATGTAACAAAATTTACATCTTGTTTTCAACCTCAAACAAAACAACCGTGAAGAGCACTAGTTGTCTAGCTAGACCATCTTTGACATAGCAGTGTGCTCCAGCACACACACACTACACAAGATCGATGCTAATACTCCTTCCTACTAGGTGTTGGGCCCCCAGACGGAGAGGAACATGACGGTGCGCAGCGCCTGCTCGGCGCGGCGCCGCTTCTCCTCCTCCGCCTTCCTCCTGGCCACCGCCGCGGCGCTCGCCCTTCCCGATTCCACCGACCCGGCGCCCGGCGCCCTGCTGCCGCCGCCGCTCCTCGCCATCGACGCCGACGACGACTGCGCCTTGTCCTTGACCGACCTGCCCGTGCTCTCCCGCACCGCCTGCGCCGCCCGCGCGCCCACACGGCTCATGTACCTCAAGCTCATCGCCCTGCAATTGCTCGCTTTGCGACTTTGTGTTGTGGATTGACGTGGAGTGCGGAGAGGCGCGCGGGGGCCTTTTATACCGCAGCGGAAGGAGCCAAGCAGGACGCGCCTCTGCCTGTCTCTCTGCTTTCTGGTGGGCGCGCGGGGAACGTGGTTTGGCTTGGCACCGGGAGGATTATCTCAAACAGCGGCGGGTGTTAGCTGCGGACGCAGAGCACTCCAGATTCCAGAAGGTGGTGTTTGTCGCGTCGCTGATCTTCTTATCCTTATCCTCGCTCACATCACATGTGACGCGTTCTGCCTGTCGTGCCTCTGACAGATTACGTGTGTGACTGAAAATTGCTCCTCTATGGGATATGCTGCTGTTTCTGACACGGTATCAGATGCGCCTGTGAATCTCTTCCGTTACAAAAGTCGTTTCCACGATGCAAACGTCTCAAATTATCCAACTGAGAATCAGGCATAGAAACAGATGCACACAGAAATTTTTAGTCAGTGAAATATAGCCGGCCTATACAAGGCTGTTAAACTTGAAATTTACAGAATATAAACTGTAGATAGCAAAATGAGCAGTTTTGCTAACAGCAGTGGTTAACTTCTGAAATCTCCACCCCGTGAAAAAAAAGCAGTATCACTAACAGCAGCAGTGAACGCTCTGAAATGAATTCTAAACTCCGGACCGCATGCACAACTCAGCACGAACGCCGGACGGGTTTCTAAATTCTAACTGAGATGAGCGATGTCGACCTCGTCAGGGATCTTGAAGGTGGCCGCCGCGCCGAACTTCTTCCTCCCGTCCTCCCACTCGTCCTCGTCCTCCAGGCTGTTGCTCTCGTCGTCCTCGTGGCTGTGGCACGACGGGGACGACGGGTCGTTCACGCTCTTCGACCTGCACGGGTCGTTGGCCAGCATGGCCACCTGACGGAGGTTGGAGATCTCCACGACCACGGTGTCGTCCTCCTTGGGGAGGGGCTGCTTCCATGGCTCCCCATCGATCCTCATGAACGTGTGCTCCGCTGCTCCCTTGTGGAACTCGAAACGGATTCGGTGGGCCTGAAAGCAAAAAAACAGTCAGCAATCTTCAATATCCTAGTTTGGTGCAGTGTGTGCCGAACTGCTGACAGAGTAAGTAGTTCACCTGCGCTAGACGAGTTCCATGGCCATTAGGAGCCAGCAAGATGAGCCCATGCCAGGCGTCGCGGAAGCCGACAATCTCGATAAGGCCATCATCAACGTAAGGTGCAGTCAGGTCTCTCTGCATATTGCCATGAAATGAAAGCTTATGAATCTCTGCCAAGTGCAGATAGTATGTCATCAACACAACCATGGAGTCTGTAACATGTTTGAAGGAGGAAAACTCACGTCTTGAACTTTCCTAGAGCTAGGTGTTCCCCAAGGATTCAATCCTCCCGAGAAGCTTGGAAAGTTGAGGCAGATAACTGATTGAATGCTGAAACAAGAGGGGCAATGTTTGCCAGTTTTTATAATAGTCCATAATTTTATTTCTTACCAATAATCAATACACCTCGATTGGAAGTTTGGGAAGTCGGATATGGATTAAAGCAGCAGGGATTTCATATGCACAAAATGAAAATTAATAGTAGTACATGGATATGGCTGGGTAACAATGATATTACCTGCGAGGAATCTTGAGCTCTTCCCATTGGCTACCAGGTCTTTTCATGATCTTCACCTTTGCAAGTTGAGAAATGTTCCTGAAAGTGGAAGTTGTATAGGTCATATATCAGAGGTCAAGGAATACAGAGACTGTTAAAGTGATGGTGAAGGAGTTCCTTCTACAGACAGAACTAATGCCACCATACTTCGATACTATAAACTGAACATGCTGATATAGAAAAATGAAGTATATTATGATCAAAATGAGAAGCATTACAGGCTGCATTAGTGACTCAGTACCTTGAAGAAAGATGGTTTAGGGAATGTTTAAATCCAAGTTTAGCATATGTACCCTGCATCAAAGAAATGAATTATACTAACCACGCTGATGGGGTTTGCAAATCCTAATGACCCATCAAGTTAAGTGAAAAAAGAGTAGTATTCGAAAAAATAAAATAAAAATATAGCATACCTGATTTCTTAGCTGGTGTCTGAACTTCTCTGGATTTCTCTTTCTTTCAGAGTGGAATTCATAGGATACTTGTGCGTCCATTCCTGCAGTATGTTCAAATTATGACTATCATGGTTACTAACCTTCTCCTGTATCTACTGCAAACAGGAACACATAAGGATTTACTGGGACATCACAATTCCCTGTTAGAAATGGCGAAAGTTTGCATCTACTGTATTGTAGGTACCACACACCATCAAACATTCTTGATGAAAATGTTTATGATTCTAAGTGGTAGAATGAACAGACTACAGAGAACTCTTACCCAAGCTAAAATAATTCCAGAATCCTCCACGGAATGTGTGGTAGCCCTCCTGAAAAAGGAAAGTCAATAAGATGCTGCTCTATATTACATATGGCACTTAAAACAAGAGCATGACTATCAAAGTCTGCCATTACATTATAAGTAAAAGTAACAGAAAAAGGTTGCATCTGTGAAAGATATTTCTTACCAAATTGAGAGAATCGCAAGCTGATACACGGTGGAAAGCATGCAATGAATGTGGAAGATCTAAGGGAGCAATAGGATCGCATGGGCCTTCCTGTGGAATTCGCATCCTCATGATGATATGCCAACTGAAACAGAAAAATACAACTACAAGTTAAACCGAGTGTTTTCTTTCGTACGCTACACATAAGGACATGTTCTAATGTTGCTAAGATAAGTGGAACAATAATTGGAAAAGAGCATAAAACAGTTCGCCATATGAGATAGACGAACGAGCTCATGCAGTGTCATGAGCAAAACATTATCTTTAGTTCTTTGTAAGCAAGATGATACCTATCAATATTCATTTCTCTTGCTCCTTTTACTTGACCCAGGAATGATTTCACTGCTGCTTGGTCAGTAGCTGGATTCTTCTTTCCCTGCAGTCAGATTAAAATACAATATTGATTTTCAGAATTGTAAAACTTGGTACAAGCCCTATAACTCCTAAAAAACATGGCAATTGAACTGGCAGAATTGCATGGAAACAACATCATACTAATTTAATAACAAATTTCCCAATTTCCTACATTAAAATGAAAAGTTGTGTTCCTTAACAGAGACTGATGCTCGGGCATAACATTTCTTTTAGCAAACATTAATAAAAATAGTGTGTTTCTTGTGGCTAGCTTTTATGGTTTTATTGTGTTTGTTTAACAGTCAAACAAGAAATTTAACTATATTTCTTCATTTGCACAAAAAACATAAATTTTCCAGGCACAAAAAACAGAGATGTAGAATATCAATCATAATTAGGAATTTAGTATGCTCAAAATAAGCAAAAGACGTTAATGTACCCATCCAAATGAAAAAGGGAGGTTGTTTCCGGTTCCTAGAGGCACAGTAGCAACAGGAGGGGAATGTGATAGCTTCAGATCACTAACTACTCCAAGCAACCAACTTGCCGTGCCATCACCACCAGCAACCTATATTTAAAAGATCCTTGGTTAATAAAAGGACATATCTAACTGGAAATTCATTGAACTCACAAATCCAAAAGTAGGTTTCTCACAATTAGCCTTAAGCTCTTCTGAATTTGAGTAGCAATGAGGTCACCGTTAGACTTGAGCTTTTCAAAGTTGCAGTATAATCTGTGTAGAACCTTATCAGGAGCCTCTTCTGAGAGATCAAAAACCTTTGAAAAAAAATAGAGTGGATCCAACAATGAGAAAATGATTTGAAGTACTACAATAGTATAGTGTAGGGGAATGCATATTTTTGGTGTTACAGCATTGATAAACTGCTAGCTATTTACCTGCGCTTCATTGAGAAGTTCACGGTATGTTTTTATCAGACTGCTTCCCAGTTGGCCACCACTTTTAGAATTGATGAAGACTACCACAGGGCAACATGGCACACTATCAACAGTGACTCGTTCAGAGTCCGGCTTCAGTATGTAATCAGGGATGTAGTAGTCTGTCAGTGGCCCGCATGAGCTGTGGCAGGAACCATTAGTGCCATTTCTGTGTAGTTCCATCCTGCAAAAACAATTTGATGAGTAAATCATAATTGATTCCCCCCGCTCCTCCATCATCAACAATGCGGTGCAGGAGCAGGAGAAGTAGAAAGAAAATTAGAAGGTGCAGGATGGCCAAAATTAATTGTAATGCTAGATTATTTCACCACAGCCATCTTGTTTACAAAATCTCAAACCATTAAAGAAAAAAAAAACATGCTATCCACATTTTACAGGATTGTTGATGTAGTATCTCTATAGCGACAAAAAGTAATTTGAGCAATCACCAATAGGAACAGGAAATATTCCCCTAAATAAAACATTATTAAAAACCACCTACAAAAAGGAAATATGCTAGAACGAAGAGAACATTATTAAAAATTCCTTACTCCTGAAACTATTCTCGCCCAATTTTGAATATCCTCAATTCGCATTATTATATATTGCTGTCTCTTAATACTATATGCTACTCCATGTAACAAGAAACAAAAAACAGCGTAAAATATGACAAAGTATACAAAAAGCGTGTAGCCTAGAGCGAATAAAGAAATCGGAACCTACTGATTCTTTTCGCAACTATTTCTATAATCATACTTTGTTCGAAAGATCTTTTTTCGAAAAGAATAATGGAAGTAGAGAGATCAGATCGCAATGTCAACGGTTTTCCTCGGTGAAACAAAACAATGCCACAATGCTCCCACAATGTCTGCAAAACTAGCAGCAACCGAGTGAAATTGTGCGCCAACGAAACAAAAATGGGGATGCCAAGCCCATGGACGGGAGGGTCGGGAGGCTAGGCTTGACCCTGTGCGCATCCGGGCATGCAATCAGAGTACGCGGGGAGGAAAGGTAGAGTGCAAGAACCAACCACCGAGCCGAGGCAAGGATCGAGATCCTAGCAAGATCTCGATTACCGGCAAGGGCACCGTAATTGGAACACGGCATCCAAATAAAGGCCAAGAAAGAAAGAAATCCGCAGGCAAGATCCCCCGTGAGAAGACAGAGCAGAGGCGGTCGGTTCCCTGGAATTTACCTGGAATCCCAAGAATCGGGGCGTCCTCCCCGCGTCCTTTGGTGTGGATTCGGCTCCCCGAGGACAGGAACTGGGTGTGGGTTTGGGCCTGGATGAGAGGGAGGAGAGGCAGGTATTAATAGGGAGACCCGAGACCCGACGGAGGGGAGGCGAGGCGAGGACGGCGAGGAAGGAAGCAGCGGAGAGAGAAGAAAAGGACCTCTGGACCTCCGTTCGAATTGCGGTCGTTCGATGGTGCTGGCAATTGTCCGCCTCCGGAGCTGCTGCATCCACTGGCGTTGGACCGCATCGCGTCACGTGATGGCAGCACGTCCTCGCTTTCCTTTGTGCTGGTTAACCTGCCAAGTTTACATTGTTTCCTCCTTTCCCAAATTATATGGTTCATTAATTATAGCTGTCAGAAGTTACAAAATACAACAACGTCAAATTGGTAATAATTAAGCTGTTCATAAAATATGTATTGATATTGTATTTTCCGAATTTTAGATGTTAATATTTTCCATAAAACACTGGTCAAAATTAGTGAAGTTGGCCTAAAGCAGAGGTAACAGAGGGAGTAACTATTAGTTGAAGTTGCAATTTATGTAGCATTATTGGTATCAGTCACAATCTCAATCTTTTTTTTTTCACAAGTTGGTTATGGGGTCTTCGTATTGTTGTTTTAACTAACGTGTTCTCTAGTGTTATTCCTCAGCAAAAAGAAACATATTATGTAGTGGTACTAGCAATTTGAGACAAGCTTGTACCATGACTAGCATCCCATTCAAAATATGATGCCGATTTATGTCATCAAACCTCGTATAATATTAGGCCCTGAAGCATTTTACAATGTGGTAAATAGTCATATATAGCTAGTCCAACAGATTATTTGAGTTGGTAATTGGTATAGCTACAGCAGTGGACACGGACCAAAAGAATCAGTAATACCATTTCATCCCTCAATTCACCAAAACAAACAGAAAACTAGAATAGCCAAATCCTCCTAACCAAACAAACGCTACCTAAAAGTGTTTGTTGGTAGTAGACGACAACAACACAACTACTGCGCCTCGAGCTCAATAACATATAGTCTCAACTTGTTTCAGCTTATTCTCTCTCACATAACGCTATTGAATAAGCCAAAATAATCCTGAAGCGGATCAGCCGAACACGCGACATCGCCGTCACCGGTTGGCACAGGTCATCATGTAAAATCCAAAGCAGCGGCCAATGCCCGTGCACGGCCCAGTGTCTAGAACAAAACGCGAAGAAACGAAACGAAACGAAAAATAGCCTGCTTATGCAAGCAGCGACCAATCAGTCGTTATCGCGAGAGCCGTTCGGTAGTTTTAATGCTACTAGTCGCTCATAAGGACCTGTATGAACACAGAGCAAGAGCATAGTAGTAATAGTTTTTTCTCGAATACGCAAAAGATCTACGCATCTTTGTATTAAGACCGAGAAATAATAAACGTTACGACGACGCGCCACGAACATGACACACTAGGGAAAAATGTTATATAATCGGCTCTGTCCTTCCTAGTAGAAGGTGATCATAAGCTATTACTCGCTAATCACACTACCTAGCCTATCACCGGCGATCAGATATGCCGCCTTGCGCGGCGCCTAGGCCACTCTCCCTGTGGGTCCGGAAGAGCTCTCGCATTGCCTCATCATGCGAGGGGTTAAGCTAGTCGACAAAGCTGTTGTCGTAGGCATCCACGGCTGCCGTGGATGGCCTCGTCTGACCGTCGAGGAACCCCGTCCGCTTCATCATCATCACCTCTCCTCGTTTAGAAGCTGGGACACGTGAGAGTGGTTGTGCGGTGATCCTCCTACTGCGGGGCGGCAACTTTGGTTGTGCCTCCACAGTCGGCTGAGGCAGCGGCGGGAACGGAGATGGCGCCTTACGCGGGATCTTCTCGATGAATCGCTTTAGCCTCTTGGCGGCGGAGTCGGCTGATCGTGGAGGGGTGGCCGCATCCGTGCCTGTGGGTGTGGCGTTGGGGCTTTGTGCGCGCCCCTCAGCATCCACGACGCCGTGTTGTCCCTCTCGAGGTGGTGAGCTTTGTAGACATGCCACAGCATCCACGATGCTAGATTGCTCCGCTTGCAACGACGTGACATGCCCTTGCACAGGCGACAGCGTAGGCGAGCCCGTCGCCAACTTGTCCACCAGCGATGCTTCCTCTTCCTGAGTGGCAGTCGCCCCTGCTGGTCGGCCCAAGGCGAGCGAGGCGGCGAGCTCCTCCAACATTGGGTCAAACCACGTGGGAGGTCCAGTGCTCGCGCACAGCTCCAACACAATAGGGTCTGGCACGTGAAGGTGTGTAGCAGTAGAGGTAGCAGCGTTGTCGGAGTAGTCAGCAGGCACGTCCATGCTGTCATCCCTTGCCGGCTTACTCCGTCGCCCCCTGTGGCACCCTGCTTGGCCCCAACTGATCCGCTGGGGCGCGTGCTGGGAGGCCGGTGGGACGTGGTCACAAGCAGTGTGCCGTGACCGGCCACCACCCTTTGCCTTCTTTGATGTAGCAGACCTAGGCCGCTTGCAATCCCTAGGTGAGGTGGCAGAATTCGTGACAGCGCAGGCAACGCCGTGGCACTGGCAAGTTTCTACTCGGTGCGAGTAGGAGAGGCAATTGAAACATCTGTCGTGAAGCTCTGCGGGGATCCTTCGGGCCTGCGGGAGCTGCTCTGGGCGAGGCTCAACCGAGGCGGCTACAGGTCGCGCTTCCAACCGGAGGAGAATCTCACGCCACCCATCGGCAGTGGGAGCGGAGACCCGTCCACGATGGCCAAAGTGTTGGCGAGCGGGGATGCAGCCATCCATTGGCCGATTAGGCATGCGCACACCTGGCGTGGCGCGGCCGCCACGCTTCTTCTCCGCCCGCCCGTGTCCCATTGCCCATCCGTGTCGCTCCGCCATGGCTCGAGACCACGATTGAACGATACGGGCGGGTGTGGGGGACGCGATTGCCGGCTTCACCGGTCGATTTAACAACATCTAGGTAGTAGGTGCGGGGTGGTCGTCGTCGGACTCCTCGCCGTCGTCGTCCGCCCACCCACCGCGTGTGCCGTGCGCCTCTGAAGGGTAGAAGGGAGCCGCATGGGTGAGTGAGTGAGAGTGCAGTAGCGGTGCTGCGGGGTGGGGCCCGGTGGCGTGGGCCTGCGTCGTTAGCGTGGTGAGGATGGAGAGGAAGTCCGCGGATGCGCTCCGGCCGGATCCGACGGTGGTGGGCATGGCAGCGCTCGTGGCGACTGCTCCTGACGTCGGTGGCGGCGTGGCCGGGTCGGGCTCCTGGTTCCGGTGAGGCACAAGTCGGCGTCGGGGGCAGGGAGTGGAGGGGAGGTGGTGGGGGAGGAGGTGGCCGGTGCCGCCGACGGCTGGGAGGTAGCTGGTGCCGCTGTCGGCAGCGGAGTTGGGCTAGGGTTCCACTGGGGCGGGCTTAGTGGAGCTCGCGGGTCGGTGCCTGGGTTTGGGAGGAGAGGGGAGGTGAATGAGGAGGGGAAGGAGGAGTTGGATGGGGAGGTGGGGGGGGGGCGCCGGCGCCAAGGCCGGCGGGACCGTCAGGGTGCGAGTCAGGGGCGGGGGTGTGGGTCTCTCCTCCTCTGTGCGCAAAATCGCTGCACAGTAGTAGTAGCAGCAGCAGTATAACCGTAGCATATCGTAACCACAGGTCCACGGCGTCGGAGGCTCGGAGCGTCCAAAAGAGAAGAAGAGCCGATCGGATCCGATGATCCGACCCTCGATGGCTGACATGTGATCCTCGCTCGCAGATGACGGCAGGCAGAATCGGGGGCAGAGTGAGTGGCAGACCAGACAGTGCAAGTGGCTGCGCGGTTGGTTGGCGCGCTGCACTTGCTTCCTAATCCACTCGTTTGGGACCCTCCACCTGCACGTCAGTATGTACCCACACCAAGACGGCCAGACAGGCAGACCCAGACCGACCCAGACGCCGTGCGGCCGTGGTGGTGCCTGCCGGTGCCTCCTGCTGTGAAATGTTCGCTGGGTTTGTTTCATGACTGAAACTGAAAGTATCGTTGGTTGATGTGACGTGAGAAAAAAATATTATTTGTTGACTGAAAAAATACGGTTTATAACCTAAACACGCCAGTGATCAGGGTGATGAATGAAACTGGCGGAAGCGCGGACGCGTGACGCGTCCTGCTGGCGCGTGCGCAGGCGCCAATCGCCGTTTCCTCGTCTTTGGCTTGAATTTCCCGGCCGCTCGGTCAGTTTCCTTTCCACTCGTTCATCTCACGACTGCACGCGCCTGCACACGCAGCGCGACGCGCCGCCGTCGAACGCCCGGCTCGCGGATGCTTAGCCGCGTAGGCCAACGCGAAATTGCGAGACCGTCACCGGAGCTTCGGAAAAGCGCGTTTACTTAGCACAGAAACGACAAGAAGCGAAGCGGATAAATTAACCTCGCTCCGGTTGAATGATTCAACCTTTTGTCCTTTTCCCAAGGGGTTTAGGTAATGAAATAAAAAAAGGGGTTCACTCTGTTACATTGGTTGGTTTCATCCAAACCAAACCAAATACACCAATAATAATTTTTTCTCTCACACTAAAACCAAAGACCAAATTAAATCCAAACCAAAAGCTCAAAACCGATTCGACGACCGGCGAAACAGGCCGAATGCTAGTACTCCATACTCCTACGTTGGAAACATTGTGTTGAACCACCGAGTCAGGAAGGATGAGTGGAATGCAACGACACTGCTAACCGGTTTTGCTTGGTTTCATCAAAATTGAGTTGATTCATCATCATCTTGTCTCTTTCGAGCATGTGGCAAGATGGCACTATTTATCGCACTTATTCATTATTAAAAAAGTATTGCACTTATTATGTGCTTTCGTGGAAGATATCAAATGGCTATAGACCAATCTAATCTAGTACTGTAATAATGTTCCAAAAATATATATCGACCTAGCTATTTGTAGCTAGTATAGAAGGGTCCATCCTATTTTAACCACAAAGATATTAAAGATATGAAGGCACGTCGAATCGGCGGCCTTCTAGGATGTCCACATAAGTTCTTTTTATTTGGTGCGTTGGATCGAAATTTCACGGCTCAGATGAGATAGGTGAAACAACTGCACGTATTAAATGAAGTACGGCTTTCTGCTGGTTGTACGAGGCATGCAAATGGACGGTGGCGGTGGCGCATAGGAGAGGACGGTGGATTCTCGACATGCATGCATGGTCGGTGTCGTATGGTGGTCGGCACGCATCCTCGCACGGTGGTCTTGCCGCTGGGGCCTTGCTTGCATGCATGCAAAAGCTGCTGACATTGTTTACTTCA